GAAAAAATATTGATTTTCATAACAGTTTCAATTTTTTGATTGTATAACAGTTTAATATAATATTAAGCATACTATTAATGTTTGAAAGTACGAACTTAGTGGAAATTATAAAACATTGATTAATTTTTCAAAAAATTTTCAGGAATATAAAAAATTAGCTTTAAATTCTAGAGTTTGACAGAAAAATTTTATATTTTGAAATGTTTTTCAATCCTTTTGCTTTCAAAAATCTCTTTAATGTGCAACTGATTTCAATTAAGAGTAAAATTTTTTGTATTTGGACTTCTAAAATAATTTTTGAGTTTTAGTTCACCTCTGTAAAATGTCAACTTATAATAGATGTTTGTTAGTTCAGCTTTAATTTTCTCAATTCAATTTTAAAATACAGATGCTTCCGACTTATTCACTGTTAAGCATATGTTTTAATTTAAATAATACGAAAAATATTATATTTTCTAATATTTTCAACTATTTTTCCAAGAAATGCGTAAATTCAGTATGAATGATTACGCTTATATATGTTTATGTTTAATTAAGATTAGGTAAGTCGTGTGCGTTATGAGGTCATATGTACGCAATTACATATTTGTACTTATTTAACTAAGTGTTTTTATGATAAATATTCGTTGTAATAATGTACTTAATTAGTAGATGTAACATAATTTGGATTAAAAATTAATAATTATATAAATGCACAATATATCATGTGATTCTGAAATAGTTCAAAAAACTATTAAAATAAACCTTTGAGTTGAGTTTTTTTGAAGTAGGAGGGAAATTTTTGAAGTATGTATCTATGTATGTAAATGTTAAAAGAATTCGAAAGATAAATATTGTCAAAATCATTAATTTAAGTTTCTGGTACGTATTAGGTGTATATCGAATAAAATTTTTGTATAGGGGAATTCGAATTAGATACAAAGGGCGTGATCGTATGGCTCATTTACTTGCCAAATAAGAAGAAGATCATAACAGTTGTTTTTCTAAAATGTCATATTGTTTTTTCTAAAATGCATACTTCACACAAATGCAAAATTCAAACATTATTTATTTAGTATGTGACAGTATTTGACCTGACCATTGGTGTATTAGCACCGCTCCTTTAAGGGTCTCGGGTTCAAAACCCGAGATTCTTAAGGTAATCTTAATAATATATTCAATATTATTATAATTTAATATACAATACTTAGAAAAAATTAAAAAAGAAATTAGTATACAATTTTCATATATCCAAAATACTCGATATTAAACTAAGAAAAATAAACAATAAAACAACAATAACCTTAAATATTTAATATAAAGAAAAAAACTATCGCAGGCTAGTTACCTACCTAGTTAAAATATTTGTGACATAATAAAATTCGGGCATTACCATTTATGTATCAATACATCTGTATTGAAAATAGGAGAATTCCAACTTTTAAGTGGATAACTAAGAGGAAAAAGTACTTGATTGGGCAGAAAATTTTAAAAAAGTTTTTTTACTATAATTCAAAAGTATTGAATTTCTTTTATTTTTTTTAGAAAATAAACAATAAAAAAAATTGTGTTAATTGTAAAACACCAATTTATTTGTGTAGATTATAGAGTAGTAATTTGAAGTTTATGGAATTGCGAACTTATTGCAAAAAATTGACGCTAAAAAATTTATACTACTTTTCATAAATGGTTAAAAAAATTTCATTTTCATATAGAAATTTGTCGTCATCGCGTAAAGGGTACGGCAAATTGCTTTAAAAATTTAAAATCTTTATATGAAATGTGGCAACCTTCCCTTAAATCAATTAATACATAATATTTAAAAGGTAATTTCTAAGTACAAAGAAAAACAGAAAACAAAAAACAATATTTTTTTTTTATTTTTTTTTTTTTACGATTTTCTGTTTTACTCGTACTTACATTCTTTACCAAAGTATAAGCAGCAGCAGCAGGTGCTTACAGATTGTTTTCGTTTTCTTTATGATTTTTTTTTCAAATAAACTTTTTTTGTATGTATGTATAGGTAAGAAAAGTTAATTAAGGGAATAAAATTTAAGCAGCAAAATGTCGGCAAAGTACGAATGAAATATACAAAAAATTGAAAATTATTCATCCATTATTAAAATTTCAAATTTTATATTTGAAAATTAAATCTTTTTGAAAACGCTCAATAACAGTAGCTACAAAACGTGAATACGAAAATCATATAAGTGTGTAAAAAAATCAGTAAACAAAAGACGGCAGCCTAAAGATAAGGTAACAAAAAAAAATTATATTCATTGAAGTATAGCTGAAAGAAAAGCACGTGTCATAATACCATCTAACTCTACCCTATATTTTCTTTTATTCAATCTATATGTAGTGAAAGTGTTTATGAATATAACGGGAGCTCTAAATGATTTAAAATTATAAATATTTGAGTAAAATATGAAAGTTGATAAAAAAATTTTTAAAAAGATGACAATTTCATTTTATCTTAAATTTTATTCCGTGATTTTTAAAATTTTGATTTGCCATCCTTAACTGGATTTACTAAATTTAACACTCCATTGATGTTATACTCTTGTATAAATAAAAAATATTTACTACAATTTTTTGGTTGCACAACTTTGCATAATTATTTTGTTGAGGAAAAAATTTTAAATTATGAATTTTTTAATCGTAAGATGGGACTTTGATAAAAAATAATTTTATTTTATATAGAATAGAAAATAAATTCTAAATAAGTTGCTATTAAAAATTCTGTTCTTTAAAATTCTAAATAAATTCTTATTAGACTTAATTTGGCGACAAAAATAGAAATTCAAATAGATGTTTTCTAAACAGATTTCGGTTACTGTTTTAAATTGGTCATGTACGGCTTCTAGAAGCTATATCTATAGTGCTTCTTTACACTTTTCATAATAATTTTTTTTAAATTATTTGATACACGAATATTTCTTACTATTTCAAATTTTTTGCAAACCAAATCCTACCCACTTTGCATCGAAATTGAGCAAAATCAAAAATAAGTTTCATAAACAAGATTGAAATTTATTATCTAAGTAATGCCATATATGTCTATCAGGCCATAAAGCTCAGAGAGCAAATCAAAAATAAATTCCAAATTTATATGGAGTTCAAATGGAAGGGGTTTCGGAATTTATTTGTGTGAAGGAAATTTATCAATATTTTAGGCTCTAATTTAGAATTTAAATTGCAAAAAAATCGGTTGGTAAATTCCATCAGGAAAATGCATTTAAAAAAAAAATGCAACATAAAACATTAAGAATTGTGTTTGTATTTTTTTCCGATTGAAAATTTCGGAAAATAATTTCAGCTTGATGGCCTGATAGATATACATGGCATTATTCAAAATATAGTTAAAGAATTTTTAAAATTTAATATTTTTTTTGACATTCTTTTTCTGCAATAAAATATAATTTTGCATTGGACTATTCTGGTTCTGAACATTCCATTCTTTACTAATATTAATTAAAAATCATTAAAATATCTTAATTTTATTTGTTGCTAATTCGATTTTTTTCCAGTATGCTAGGAAGCAAAATGTTTCCATGCAATAATATTGTGAAAGTTTGAATTTTTTCAAAAATTTCATTCAAATCTGTTTGAATTCCATTTTCATTTCATTTCTGATTTACAATATTCGTTCATTAGCATTTAACATTTATATATTTTAAATTAATTGTCGGTAAGATTATCTATATGCTATATTTAAATTTCAATTCCTTTTATTACAATTGGTGAGTAATTGTAAACTTTCCAGTTGAAATTAGTATTTAGATTGATTATTTTTTTTTTTCAAAGTATTTCAAACAATAATTATTTATTTTCTCTTTAATTATATGATTAATTTTTATAGATTTTATTGAAAATTATTTTCTAATTTCAACTAATATTCATTTAGACACTTCCGAATGATTAAAACTTATTAATGAAAATATTAAGTTCATTTTCAAAATGCTTGTTCAAATTAAGTTTTTTTTCAAATCTTGCAATTCCATGTTAATCAAATATGGAAAAGCATATTTTTATTTGATGTCATGTAATCGTAATTTAAACTCTTATCAATAGGTAGTTGTATAATTATATTTTTCTACTTGTAATTAAATGCCATTTTGTAAATAAAATCCAACTATACATTGTCTTATGAGTGATTTCCTATTATTTAGTCGTTCTACTGTGAAGTTAGTGTAAGGAAAACTTTGTATTATTTAAAACTTTGTGACATAATAATTTCATGTAAAAATATTTTGTATTACATATATAAACCATAATTGAAGTTACTTTTTAGAGTGAAAAAGAAATTCAAAGCGATATTATGTTCGTTTTGTTAACAGACATGTAAAAATAAATACTACTTATGAAATAGTAAGAGATTATATTGAGTTATAAGTACCTATATGTTTTAATTAAAAGCAGATTCGTAAGTAATTTCATATGTTTAATAAAAAAAATTCGCAGCGTAGCCAATAATTTCAATAAAAAATTGTAAATTAAAAAATATAATCCTCTTCCCTCAAAATTAAGGTGAACTTACTGAAGGAATTGTAATTTGGGGGTACATAGACTTAAGTCAGAATAAGTTAGTTCAATTGAATTTAATTTGAATTTTTGAAAATATTTGTATATACTTAAGGATAACACTTAATTTTTACTCTATATTGTTTTCTATAGAAAAAATATTGTAAAAAATAGAAAATTAATATTTTTTGCAACATAACGTAAGAATAAAGATTAACATGAAATTATTTTGATTAATTGAAGATTGTTAAGATTTAAAAAAAATCCATATAAATTCAAAGAGAACTTAACTGAGGTAATATGGAAAATTGTTTCTGTTTATACATACTACTTTTCAATAATCAAGATTTTGTGGATAAAATATTTTGTAAACACGAATAAGAATAACTTCATAAATAGTTAATAAATAAAGTAAAATTTAAATAATGATATTAAAAAAAAGAAAATAAAATTAGGAAATTTAATAAGTAAAAAAATTAAAAAAAAAAAAAACTCACCATTGGTTCCTAAAATATTAAATTTCCGTCTTCCATCTCTTCTTGAATAAAGAAGCTGGGATAACCCAGAAGTTGATGAAGATTTTTTCGTTATAGAATTACTACGACTATTATTAACTCCAGGTGGTCTATAACGAGCGCTCTTAACACTACTCGGTAAAAATTGATAAACGCTTTGTGCTTTTGAAATCGGAGATGATGTCATTAATGGTGTAGTTGGTAAACGCGGAAGAGAATTTGTGTTTGGTACATTTGTTTGGAAATTTTGTAAGCTACGTGGTAAAGTTGATCTTGTTTTATTGAAATTTCCATCTACATTACTATCTTCGTCAGATGTCGCTTCGTATTCGCATATTGAATCTGGTACACTTGATCTTCGACGGTTCGATGAATTTTGTGGTACATGTAAATTACTTTGATGATGATGATTTATAGATGTATTCCATGATTTTGTAGCTTGTAGTTCATTTTCTTCAGTTACTGTTGAACCACCTATACTTCCACAACTGCGTACACGATCTAATTGTTCTTGGCTTAATCTTGTTGGATTAAATAATAAATCACCTGCTGAACGACGCTTTGCAGCCAAAGCGGATGCAGATGATGAATTATCTCTATCTAATAATGTTAATTTAGTTCTGGAATCACCATTAGCCAGTAATGCTGATTCAAAACTACCGCGCCACGAGAAGCGCTCATAATCGCTGGCAACATTTTCTTCACCAGCTGTATCACTAACACCACTACTAGATTGATGATGTTGTGGCCTAGCATCGCTTAATAATAAGTCATGTGATTTACTTCGTGGTAGGTTTAAACCAAGAGAATCAGTTGGTGCATTTACTTGTGTTGTTGTTGTGGATAATGTGTTTGAATTATTAATTTGCACTTGTACAGTTTGATGTCTTCCATCATTTATTCTATCTATATTGCTGCAGTCAGATAGGCTGTCATCATCGTCGTTATTGTCGCCCTTTTTCAGTACTTTTTGGTGAATTCGTTTATGATATCGTTGTGGTGCTACCGGAGAATTGCTGGCACGTGAATCACCACTACTTACTTCATGCATGAGAGCAACTAATCTTGTTCCGATATGATGCATAACTTTAGCTAACAATTGTGGCGATTTGTCTGATTGGTCAACATTTGATGAAGATTGTTGATTAATCTGATTTGAATCAATTTGCTCAGTTTTATCTTCATTTCCGGTTGTCATTTTCGAAAAAGATGCAACCAATTTTTGATAAACTAAAGCTGTTTCTGGATTCAAATTGTGTTTTTCTTCCAATAAACCACCGTCACCAAGATCACCTTCTCTATCATTAACTGGATTATCAAATTTATTTATGATTTGTTGACAGCTTGCGGATATTTGTTCTTTTAGTACTGAGTTTTTAGATTTGTTAACAGCTCCTTCTAAATCGGAGCTAGTGTAATCAGAAGAGTCGTATGAATCAGACCAAGTGTCTTCACTACTTAAGTACTCAACAATTTCGCGAACTTGATCGTCATTTATACCTGGCACAGTTTTCATTAATCGTGTTAGCTCACTTTCAAAATAAGCCAATTGTGCTGGTTTATTTCGATTTCTAACTCTTGCGACAGGCGTTGATCCCTTAGGTGTACTTGTTCCGCTAACAATCGGAGTTGAATTTTTAGAGCTGCTGGCATTAGCGCTGGCTGCAACCAAAGTTTTGAAAAATTGACGCATTTTTGACATCATTAAATTTGTTTCTTCATCGGAACTCCAATTATTGAAACTATCTTTTCGTGTAAGCGATTGTGGATGTAAAGGTGGTTTCTTAGACGTATTTGGATGTTGTAAATCTTGTAGGAAATTATTAGAATCAGTCTCTTTGTTTTCTTGTGAATCTTCTTTAATATCTTCTAATTCTATTTTCAATTCAGGAGATCTAACGCATTCGTCATTTTTAAGAAGATCATCATTGCTACCAATAAATCCACTGTCGCGGCTATGTTGGTTTTTAGATTGAGCTAAGTTACTACCGTAAGTTGGTAGCAAGTAATCAGGTTGTAAAATTTCATTATTTTTATCGGAGAAATTGTTTTCTTCATTTTCGATTGGTTTTCGTGCATTTTCGTCTGAATCATGTCGTTTTCTCGCTTGTTTTTTGCGTTTAATTGTATCATGTTCGGATTTTTCCACATGTATAACTGTATCGTCACAGTTTTCTGATTCTGAAGAATCATGTGTATCATTTTGATTTTCACATATTAGTGTTTCATTACTCTCATTGTCCTTAGCTAATAAATTATCAAGAGACGAATTTTGAGATCTTGGCGTACCTCTAGCTCTTACTAAACGTTTTCTTCTCTGACTTGGACTTGGATGTCCTTCACTGTCACTACCAACGCTGCCACTTTCATCTGATTCATTTCGCTCAGTTTGAGAATATCCCATAAAACCAGACAAAAAATATTTTTCTAAACGGGAACATGCCAATTCAGCAGCATCGTTTGCTTGTTCGTTATTAATATCAATCGGTGGTTCACTTAAGGAATCTATACCTTCACTACACACACTACTTACTTCTGAACTACTTTCTTCTTTCGTGTCAATCGAGCTCATAATATTTCCTTCACCCAATCCGAAAACAAAATATTTTTCTAACTCGGATGGTGAAGATTGTTGAATTTTTTTCTTAATTGCTCCACTACTACTTCCACCATTACCGTCACCGCTATTACCGACACTATAATTTCGATTCGATTTCCTACTGTTATCCTCGATTTGTTCAACTTCGCTCCACTCTTCGCAACTTTCTTCGATAATCGTATGTAATGTAAAATCTATAGCCGTCCGATTATAGCCACGTAACTCTTCTTCACGATCGATTAATGAAGATAACGATATATCTTCACCCGAATCAATATCCGAATCGGTAGCAGTAGTGGTTGTGCCTGCGAATTCTTCTTCATCTTGACTGATTTCTTCGACCCATGAATCATCATCTGCTAAACCGTCTTCAAGACAAACCGCGGAGTTTAACGCATTCGGTATGGTTGTAGTTATTGTTGTTATTAAATTGACGTCATTGTTATCACTAGAATCACTTTTAAATAAATTTATTTCTGAAATATTTATTTGTATATTTTCATTTTCATTTTCTAAATTTTCACTTTTACTAACATTTTCTAAATTAAAATTGTTATCAATTTTTTCATCATATTTAACACTATTCGAATTATTTTTTCCTAATTTTTTATTTAAGTACAATGACGTCATTGAGGTATAATTAGATATTTCATTTAGGTCACTACTACTGCTGCTTTGTGAAAAATTGCTACTATTATTATTTTTTAATTTAACTAAGAAATCATTGCTATGAAATGCGTTTGAACTATTCACGATTACATTTGTGTTACAGTTACCTATTTCATTTTCATCATGTGATGACTGTTGTAAAACAACATGCGTATTTTCACCAATAATATTAATTTGGGGGGTTTTTATTATTCCTTTATTCATGTTTGTTGAAATGTGTGTCGTTGGTATCGCACTTGTAGACGTTACTATATTGGATCGATCTTGACTTTGATTAATCATTACTAAACTACGATATTTTGATGATAAACTATTACCGTTCGTTTTTTCGCTTTTATTTGGAGAGAAAATATTTTCCGCCGTTAATGCTGTTGTTGCAAATTGTGCACTTATATCATCACCATCTGAACCGTATGAATGTTCGTACTCTACTGTTTTTTCTGTTGTATTTTTAAAATTATGAATTTTGAAAGTATTTGCATTTGTGTGCGTGTTAAATACATTTTTACCTTCCCAAAGTGGCTTAATACCTGACTCTAAAGATATATTTGTAGTACATTGTTTTTCATTATTATAACTGTTACCATTATTCGTTTGCATATGGCTACTATTATTATTATTATTATTGTTTTTGTTAATATTTACAGTTGTACACTTTTTGTCTGTCATTAAATCAGTTGAAGTATTAAAGTCATCATAGTGGTAGTAATGTAAATTTTTATTTTTATTGTTGTTGTTTTCATTAAAATTCTCATCATTGTTGTAAGGTGTGTTACTGGTATTTTCATTTTTTATATTCATTTTATCATTCCTACTTGTTTTATCATTTGAATATAATACAGCTGATTTATTTCCTACGTTTTCGTTTAACGTGTTGGTGTTAAGTGTATGAACAGTAGATGGAATTGAAGCGGTTGTATTAGTTATAGTTGTATGAGTAGAAGTACTTGTTGGTATTGTAGAAATTATTATATCATTGTTTAAAGTTACTTGCGCATATGTATTGTGGTAAGTTGTAGGAAAAGTTTCTGAACTGGTTGATTGCATTGGTAATGTTCTACTCATTTGTATTTTATTTACCTGTATCAAATCGAAGGAATCATATTCGGTATTGGAGAATAACAAGTTTTTAACTTGCTGTTGTTGAATTTCTTCTAAAGTTGTTTTTGCGTTAGGTAATAAAACACTTTGTTCTTCTATTTGTAGTTGTTGTTGAGCTTTTTGACTTTGTTGTTGTTCTTCTTTTTCAAAAAGTTGTAATTGTTGAACATTTTGTTTTTCTTGATCATTTTTATTAAGAATTTCATCATCAGTAACTTGATTGTAATGATCATCAACGCTACAACTAATTTCGAAATTTTTATTGTCGTTATCATTGTCTTCTCTAATAATAAGATTTTCATCCTCATATAAAATATTTTTATTTAAATTTATACTATTTATTGAACCTTTATTACTGATTTTTAGTTTCTCTAAGCTAAATATTTGATTAATATGATCATCGGTAGAGGGTTTGTTAGTTTGTAAATTATTTAAAGTTTCTTGGTGTTCGTTATTGTCGCTGTTGTCTGTATGATGTTGTTGTTTCATATTATTGTTACTATTATTTGCATTTATATTCGCGATTTCTGGTTTTTTATTTAATAAAAGCTTAACTGGTTGTTTTTTATAATCATGTAAACCAGTTTCCACATTAATTTCTTGATTTTCATGTTCCGATTCAGATGAAAATGACGATGACGGTGGCGACAATGTTGATGGTATTGTTGAATATATTGGACTATGAATTTCTTTTGATTTTTCTAATAAAAATAAATTTTCTTTTTCGATCACTTTCCCTGTTATTTCTGAATTAATTAATAGTTGTTTTTCAGGTTTATTTGTTGAAAATTTCGAAATTTTTTCAAAATTCTGATTTTTAATATCAGTTGAATTTTCTAAATTATTTTTATCATTATTATTAGTCATTTCGTCATCATCACTTGATGATATTATTGAAATACTGCAATATTTTTTAAACAATGATGTTGTAATACTTTCATTACTAGATGAACTACAACTATCGCTAAATTCACTTATAAATGGTTTTTGCAACAAATCTTCATTAATTTCTTTAACATCTTTTTTTAATTTTTCCATCAAATAATCAGTTTCTTGAGTTTTATATTTTAAAAGTTTATCGACATCGTTCGTAATCGATGTTAATTCTTCTAATTTATCATTATCATTTGTAATAACTTCAGTCTTTTCATTGTTACTTTCAATAAAATTATCACTTTTTTCACTAATTACTTTTTCAGCCTTTTTATTTATATTTTCTACTTGTAACTCTACATTTTCACTTCTTTCTATATTTTCATTTTTAATAATTTTATCCGAATTCATTATTGGAAATTCATTATTTTTATCAGAACAATTATTGTTTTCAATTATTTCATTAAAATTAGAACTGTTAGAATTGTCACTTTTTGTTTTTATTTTTTCTATTTGATTGTCATTCAATGTAAAATTAAATTTAGAACCGATTATTGGCACATTGTTATTGTCTTGATTATCGAATGAAAATTTCCGTACTGAATTTAAAATTATACCACCATCACTTTCAATACTCGATAAAATTTGATTATTATTATTGGCAACTAAATTAATAGAATTGTCAGTAAACACTTCAATATTGTCATCTCTTTGATACGCCTCTTTTTGTTTAAGTACATTACTAGGATTACTATTTGTATCAAAATCAACGACATCATTGTTATTATCAGTATCAGTAATATTTTGATCATTTTCTGAGTTATGGTCGTTTTCGCTGGCGTTATTATTTATAATGTCACTGGCAACATCTTGTATCAAATTAATTTCCTCATTTGAGGTACTTCTTGATGTTGTTGCTGTTGATTTATTAAATTCATTGTCGGAATTATTTGATAAATTAGTTTCTGACAACGATTTAATATAATTAAGAATAATACCACAATCACGTTCTGTATCAGTATCATTGTCGGATGAATCTTCAAGATTCGCATCAGAACTTTGAGAATCGCTACCCGATGATGCATTATTACGGTTAACAATGAATACTTTTGAAAACGTTTTTGTAGATTTTGGTCGACGATCAGCAATAGTGCCAGTGTCATCCGTATCAATTGACTCTGAACTAGATGATGTAGTATTATCTTTATCTGAGGTTGAATAATGTGATTCTGCATGACTGCTAGATGAAATACTGGGTTGTTGTTGTTGTGCTCGCATTTCAACATTTTCATTATCTGAAATAATTAAATTTTGAACACCAGAAGCACTAGCCACATCATAGCTACGTTTAACGGATTTTTTTCTTATTAAATTATCGCTGTTATTGTTATTATTGCTAGAGTTATTAATTCTTTTGATATAACAATTTTCGTCATCATCATCACTTGATTGATTTTGATTATCAATAGATGTTTCTGAATCAGATGATGATGAGAACATATTTTCTGATATTAAATAACCGCTAGAATTATTATTGTCCTCCGAAAAGGATTTAATTTTTCCAATAGTAATCATTGCAATATTTTTTGATATTTTATTCTCTTTAAAATTTTTTCCTTTTATATTTAATGATGGCGTTTTATTAATATTTTCAACAGCTTGTAATAATGGCAACGACGATGGCGGTGAATTTTTTATTTCTTTCAATGGTCGTACATTACTACTATTGCTACTATCTAAATTATAATTTTTGTTATATTTTTTGCTAATAGCTGCTACAGAATTAGTGTCAACGTCCCCAATTTTTTCATTGTTATTGCTATTGTTATTGCTATTGCTGTTGTTATTCTTAGCCAAGCAGAAATTTTTATTTTTTAAATCGTTGTATTTTCTTTCGTTGTTAATTTTTTCTTGTAATTTTTTATTATTACAATTACCACGTTTATATGGCTTGCTTTCTGCAGCAATTGAATTTTCCACTTGAAATTCTCCAAAATCTTGTTTCTTACCTTTTATATTTTCAACATTAAAAGTACTTTCCTGTACCAGTTTTGTTTTAATTGTATTGGACGTATTTGAAATTTTTGTTATTTTATTATTTTCTTCTATTAAATGTTGAGCATTTAACTTTATTTCACCTTCCACTAAATCTAAATTATTACTACAGTCTATTTTTTTAAATTGTATATTAGAGTTATTTTCATTTGAACCGATTTCATTCGTTGCTATTAAAGTAGAATCTAAAAATGTTACCGAATTTTGTTGAGTATTTTTTGCGATATTGGTTTTGTTATCAGTAAATGAAATTTGTTTCTTATCGTTATTATCACGAATCGATAATTTATTATCGCATATCGAATTTTCGTTTATAATGGAACGCGACAATTGTAAATTAAAATCATTATTATCTGAACTATTATTTTTCGTTGTATATTCTTTTGTACACGTTCGCGTATCGTTTTGTACTGAATTTGTGCTAGTATATGATGCAGAAAATTCACTCAAATTACCGGTAAATGTAGCCGACGATATTGTAGTTTCTGTAGCATAACCTGACGAGCTACTAGCATCATAATGATCATCTGAACGCGACAAAAATACAGGTAATTTTGTGGTTAATGTTGACGGTAATAAGAGTGGCATTGAAGATATTGATGATGAACTAATAGACATCAAAGAAGACGAAACCGATAGCTTATCATTTAATTTTATTTCCGATTGCTTTTCATTTAGTACTACACCATCGCCCAATTGAAAAATTTCTTTATTCTCAGAAGTTGTTAACGCTTCACTGAATAAAACCGGTGATGATGACGATTTTGTTAGCAATACAGGTTTATTTGTAGTTTTAATGGCCGGTATGAATTTTTTATTTTCTTTTCTATTTATTTCTTTTATGGTTTCAGGTAAGCTTCTGGAAATAATTTCATTAAACTCGTTTAGTTTTTGTTGTGTATCTTTATGCTCGTATTGTACAATTTCTTGTCGCTGTTTTTGTTGCTGTTGATATAGAGCTGAATTGTTTTGTGGTTTTAAAAGTAATTGTTGTTGTATTTGTGGAGGTAAAACATTTAATGCTTGTTCATGAATTTGTTTTTGTAATAAAGTTGGCGTTGCATTTTGCCATAATTGTTGTATCGCTGCGCACATTTCATTTTCGTGACTTTTAGTTTCATTTGAAATTACTAAATTTGCTGTATTTGAAGCTGTTAAAAGTAAATCAGTAGGATTCCAATTTTGAAATGCTGAAATTGGCACAGGTATTGGAACTGGCACTGGTATAGGAACATATTGTGGTTGAATAGATATTCCAGTTGTATTATTTGCACCACAAGAACATGATGATTGCGTATTTTGTATACCAGATTTATTTCCATTACAAGATGATGATGAAGTATTCGAAGATGATGATTCAACTTTATTACTGGAATAAAAATTTTGTTTAGCAGAAGAAGATGAAGAAGATGAATGTCCACTATAATTATTATTATGTCGAAGGAATTTAGTTTTAATACGATTTCTTATAGACATTTCATTTTTATTAGCAAGAAAACCATCTGAACTTGTTGGAGATGAACTTTCAGCTGGCATTAACATTTCTTCATCTGTTCCTGTATCGCTTTCACGCATTTTTTGTCGTGATACCGAAGAATTTGACGATTCTGATAGTACACTTCGTCTATAAAATATTGGTGAATCAATCGGTGATTGAGATTTATTATTATTAAATCTACGACGGACCAATGGTGAATCATATGGTGAACGTAATATATGTTTTGTGAGCCCGGATGCACCGGGCTCAAAATAATCCCAATCACAATCATCTAAAATAATACTGTTACAATTTGGGGTTGATGATGTTGTTGAACTTGTATCTTCAAAATCCTCTTCTTTACTAGATGAATCTGAACTTATAAAGACGATTTTATATTCATCGCCTTCAGTGTAATACATTTTCATTCCTGAAGTTGAAGAAGAAGTTTCTTGATCAGATATTATTTCATCATGATAAGGTGTTGCTATTGAATATTTTTTTGTCAGATCACCTGTTTCAAAAAAAAATAATTTTGCATAGGTTGATAAAAGTTGATCCAATTTATTTTGTTTATCATAACGTGTTAGTAACTTTTCTTCCCCAAAAACCAATGTTAGTGAAATTAAATTATTCTAGCAGTAGTATTGAAATCTATCGAGACTCCAACTTAATGATTTTATAATTATTATTAGTGGTTATAAAATAATACAAAAACTTTAAGTAATAAAACATCAAATTAAAATTTAAAAAATAATCAGAATTAACCCAAAAAAAAAAACAATAAGCATTAGTAGCTAGCAAACATTAATTCTAAATTTTTATCAATTTTATGTAGAGTACTACAGATAAAATTTCTGTATGATTACGAACTGTTCCGCATGAATTATAAAATTCTTCACGTTTGAAATTTCTAATCAAGAAAAAAGTTTATACTGCACGGAAATTTTAAGCAAGGTCTGCGCCTTGTTTTAGTAATCTACTTTCTACAAATCGAACAACTATAAGCATCTACATATAGTATTATATTAAAGTACATTATTAGGTTTCTACTTTTTAACGGAGGAGAAGTTAAGAGAATTCTTTGAATTTTATATTCTCTAGAGTTTCTCTTATATTTTAAGAATACATGCATTTGTTTAATTTATTTTAACAGTATTGTTATTTGTTTATTCAAAATACTCCTCAAATATCACAGAGTAAAAAATAAATTACCAAATTTTTAATATTCATGAGAATTCCAATCAAAGTGTCATATTTGATTTTTCTCAATTCAAATAATTTGATTTCGTTTTCTCTATTCATTTTAAAATGTTTGTTATATACCCTAGAGTTGAGAATGTCATTGTAGATATGGGTACTATGTATATATAATGTTTTGTTTTTCATTTTTTTTACGACTTCAGTTACTTCGCATAGGTGTGTTCAATTTATTGTGTTGTTTTGTTTTATCATATTATTTTGTTTTTACTAGAACAACTAACATTTATTTATAAAATTTTAATGATATGTGGCAAAATGTTGAAAGCGAAAGCATTACGTTAATTTTGATTTTATTTTTAATCTATACGGATAAATTGAAACTAAAATTCTCATAACGTTTTGAACGTCAACAAGAATACACTGAAAGTTTTCTTTTAAGGAAAAAATTTAGCATTTAATTTGATTTAATAATGACATTTTTATAATGTAACAAGAAAATTGGGAATGGTTATTGTCAAATAGAGGTTTTGTGAGATTTAATTTTAATATAGATGCAATTTGCAATATAAAAATTGGTAAATTTCGAAAAACAATTGGATCTGTCAATTTTGACATATGTACTCGTATTTCAAAAGTAAGATACTAAAAATTAATGTAATTTAAAATGTGATAAAGAGAAAGATGCCAATACAATTAATTACAATGTTTACTGGTCCTGTGAAATTTGATTACGAGAACATACAGGAAATTGTAATTAAATAAAATTAATAGACTGATTATGTAACGATATGAAATGTCTCATAAATGTTATTAAACAAAGTTATGTCATCTATACGTTAGATATAGTCTACTGATCATTGATTAGTTATAAGTGTAATATGATATTAAAAATACGATAAATATAAATATCTCCTTTATACTTCTATTACTTTGAGTAACATAACAACAAATGCAAAACAAGTTTTAAAGTCAGTTTCGTATAAAAGAAAGTGACAGAAAAAAAAAATTGATCTGTTTGAAAAAATTAAAGTACTCGTAATTTTGAGTTACACAACAAGATACAGTCTACATAATTATGATATTTGAAATATCGGGTTAATAGGCGACATTATGGCAAAATGGAAGTCGGGGCTTTTCAAGAAAGGCATTCAATCACGACATCATTATTTTTTTTTATAAATTTCATCATTTAAATATATTGTTTAAAAAAAATCTTTGATAAAAAGCAGTTTGAAGTGGAAAAGAAGGATTAGTATATTCGACGAATTTTTTAAATTCTCTTGAGCAGGCGAATTCGCTAGCTTATGCCATTATGTAATGATGAATGTATTTATTCGCTTATTTTTTTTCCTACGAAATTTAACCATTGAACTCCAATCAATATATTGACTGCATTTTATAGAGAACTGTCAGAATAAAATTCCTTATACTTTTGACAAAAATAAATACGCGACGTATTTGTCACATAATGTTTTTATTGTCAAATTCGTCATACAATAATAAATTTATGACAATTAACAAAATTTATTGTACTATTTTGTAAAGTTTTTCTAAATTTTTGTAAAAGCAAAATCATTCGCGTTTCTTTTTTAAAGATGAGAAGATTCCAAATATATTGGCTTTGTCCTGTACACTATTTATTCTTTCAATTTTTAAAATTTTAACTATTTTTTTAAATTTTAAATTATATTAAAAGAAATCTTATATGAATTATTAATTAATTATTCTGTAATATTATTTGAAATGAAATTTCTTATTTTTGATAATTTCTTTATGTAGGATATGATGCTATTTTATTTATAAGTAAAAAGTTTTGATTGAAAGTTAAAATTATATTAGCATTAGATGAAAATTTCAAATGTAAAGTGATGAAGTTTTAATTGATGTAATTATCTATATAGGTTTATATATGGAAAAGTAGGAAAACTAGTGATAATATTATGAAATAAAGTTGAATAAAACTAATGGTTTGTAAAAAAAAGCACTTTCCCACTAAACAAGTGAAAATAATACTTTTAATAATAGTCTACGTCTTACGATATCATTTAAATAATCTACATATAAATTTCATTTACATCCCAAAATATTTCAATTTATTGCATACAGATAGGATGAGCCAAAGAAGAAAATTGAAAGAAACGTTAAATTTATGTTATTAAAGTTTAGGTTTAATTGAATGGTTAAGTTATAGAGTTACGATAAATAATTATCGTATTTTTTTTGGCATAGCATCTACCGCTAGTTTTTCGCTTTGATAGAGATTTGAAAAAGTTTCGGAAATATAAAGCGCCAAAAATTCAAATTTTACGATAACATGGGGAATGAATTTGAAGGTGGAAAAAAGAATTTCTTCAAACAAAATGTATTATATTTTAGTTTCTAAAACCTGGTTAAATTTCAGACTCCTACATATTGCTGCCTGGAAGTAAAACCATATGGTCAAAAATTAGCATTTTTAAGAGTTTTTGAGGGGTTATAAATTTTAGAAGGGGGAGGGATTATCAAAAATTTTCTTTCACAGAATTTAGTTTTTACTAAAGATCTATCAAGTTTTCTGTCTCAAAATGCGTAGGAGTTTTGTAAACAGACACATGGACAGACAGACAGACGGACGAACAAACGGACAGACGAACAGAATAAAACTAATAAACAATTTTTTCAATTCTTTTTTGGAAATGTGCCAAAAAGCAAATAAAACAGGTCCACATTATAATGCCTTACACCAGTTTCTATTAAAATTACCTTTTTAAAATTCAATTCTTTGCATAATGACGACAAATTATGACTTTATAAAATATTTGCTGTTTTTTCTTTATTCCTTCTCATATGTTTTAATATTAAAATATTGCAAAATAATATGAAAATTAATAATTTCTTATATATTAATATAAATAACTCTTATTAAAATGTACATTGTTTAATAGCCCACACAATATTATGTTGAATAAGTAAAAACTTATTTTTCTTTTATTCGGGTTACTCATTGAGAATTTTATCTACTTTGTTTTGGCAAATTTTTTACTTTTATAATGCATTTTTAAATTTGTAAGAAAAATTAAATAAAATTTTATTTTTCTAACTGTATTTAATTAAATAGCTTTTAAAAAAAATTTTAAAAAATTATTTTCGAAAAAATTTAAGAAAAATTGAATACCAGGAAAAATGGAAGAATTGAAATATAAATATTTATATTAAAATTTAAAAGAAACTAACAAAAGTTGTGAAAATTTTTCGAAGAAAATCAAAAATCTATACAAATTATACAAGTATATACATACTTATACTTAACAAATGTTATGTCAATGTCAAACATTGTGATGAGATTTTGTCTTCCTACGTACTGCTTCGTCATATTTTAATAGAATTATTTTAAGTCGAACTGCTTTTTTATCGTAATCGTTCATTGCTTTTTTAAAATACGAGTATGTATATATATTTTGCAACTACAAACTATTGACATTCCGTTTTTTGTGCATTTTATAAAAACAAAAATCAATTAAAATGTGTAAACGTTTCAAAATATTTGAACTTAATCAAAAAAAGACTTACAAAACAAAATAATGTCATTTCATAAAAACCTCGAACTATTTCACTTACTATTATTTTTTACAATTATAAATGAAATTTTTTAACCGTTAAGAATAATTTATATATATATATATATATAGGTAAGTGAATGATAGAAGTCAGATACTTCAAAATTTAGCCACTTATTTGACAGATATAGCATTTTTTGTATCAATTTGGTTTTATTTTTTTAATTTTATGCCAATTTGCAAATTTTAACAAAGCATTGTATTAAGTCTTAAATACAATAAATGTTGTGACTCATATGCTAATATGTGTACCACCATTTAGATTTAAATATAATAATTATGATTTTATTTGCAATCGAAATTAATATTCAATATTACTAAATATTATAAATAAATCAGAATTAATTAAATTTATTTTTTTTTTAAATAATTATTGTTATTATCAAATTATAAAAAAATAATTTGAGAGAAAATTAATAAATTTTAAAAATATACTGAATATTTAATTTTTAATATAAAATTATATTTAATTTTCAAATTTAATAAAAATTATAATAATATATTTTTATAATTAATAAAATAATAATAATAATTATTATCATAAAAATGTAAGAGATTATAACAGTATAGTTTAAATATAAAGTGAAATTTTTAAATAAGATTTTAATTGTAATTTTATAATTTGATGTTAATTATAAAACTATGAATTATAATTAATAAATTAATTAATTTTTATTATTATTTATTATTTACACTAGTTATATTATTCAATTTA